GCTGGATGCTCCACAGTTCTCCAATTGCAGCTAGAATGGGGAGGCAGATGTAGATACCTCAAACTCACTTATGCATTTCACTGCACCTGGAAGCCTGGAGGGTCCCAAACAGTCTGGGCTTGGGGAAGAATGCACTGAGCACTTACAGCAGGCCACAGGGCCTCTGGAACCTGCGATGCTCGCCTGCTTGCTGAGATATCCACAGTCCTCCAGACACATGGGGAGGCGAATGCAGGCACCCCAGATCCGCCCAGCTCTTCCTCTGCACCCAGATGGTGCAGGAGTCCCAAATAGGCTGGTCTCTCAGGATAGTGTGCACCCGCCTGCATGCTGGAAACTCCCAAGTAAATGATTTTCAATACTTATTTCTCCTTTTTTATCTGTGATTTTCTGAAGACTGTGCTGAGATTTTTCATGCATTTATCATTGCATTTGTAGCTTTATTTTGTAGAATGTATAATGTCCTTTGAATGCATAGAAAAAATTTACCTCTCACATATGCAAGTTATGAATGTTTTCTATTAGTCTGAAACCTGGCTGTATATTTTCTGTATACTGTTTTGTATTGATACCTACAGCAATTTTGTTAGGGTTGTATTGTTGCTTCTTGTAAATTTTGTTATTTTTAAAAATTTTTATAAATTTTTAAGAAGCATTATTTCTATTATGTTTATGCCAACTACCTGTCTTGTGTATATGGCTTCAGTTTGTGATCTAATTTCAGCCTTCAATGTCCCACAATACCATTTTGAAGTTTTATCCCCTACCAATTGCATAACAAGTCATAGGGGCACCTGCAAGAGTAGGGGTCCACAGGCTGGAATTTAAGTCACTGAGCAAATGCGTTTATAGGAAGTGTAAGGATGCCAGTCCTCAAGTATCAGGGCTGTGCAGGCAAGAAAAACTTCATCTGGAATCCTGATCCAAAATGAGCCTATGTAATTTATCTAATGTAAGATATGCATTCTAGACCCATAAAGCTGAATGACACAATGTGAAAATAAATAGATTACACTGTCCATGAAGGTGTTTTTTTTTCACGTGATACCCTCTCAGTGTGTCTTGTCCATAATACATGGCCATGTTCTCAGTGGCCAGAGAGCTGAGCTACAGGAAGAACTGGTTCTTGCCCGTGTTAGTGGGGATGAAGGTGCAGCTGTTGAAGTCTGGATTTTAGCCAGAACTCCCTATCAAGCAATCCATCCATGGTGGAGCTTTCCCGGTAGTCAGCCAGATGTAGTTCATGACCAAGCTACTTATGGGATTCATGTAGGAGTGCAGGTGAAGGACAGTGTTTGTCTGGGGTATACCATGCTAGGTGTGAGACCACTCATAAACCCACTATTTGGTTGTGTGTGTGTGTGTGTGTGTGTGTGTGTGTGTGTGCATGCACACTTTTCTTCTAAAACCTCCAAATATTAGTTTTGAAAACTATACTTATTTTATGTCCTATAACACCTCAGATGCTTAGCTAGATTTTGACTTTAAACAATGAGCGAATTTTGGCCAAGTCCCCCAAAATACTGCTTCTCCTTCCTCTCTTATTTTGTCATAAAAACTACAAAAAGGGGAGCAAACACTTTTATCTCAAGGTGACCAAACTGCCCAGTGCCCACATACTGTGTGTCAATTAACCAATTATGTAAAAGGCCTTGCAAAATTCCAAAGCAATGAAAATGCTGCAAAACAAATGGTATCCATGTAATCCTTGACCTTGTGACCTCACAGAGGGCTATATAAATACAAAAAACAAAGGAATTGAAGCCCTCCAGCAGTGGTGCTCCAATGGCCTCAGCTGTCTTGCTGCTTCAGCTTTTCAAATAAATCTCTTCTGTTTCTGGACTCTCACTTTCCTGTGGATAACTTTCTTTAGCATGACCAAACACTGACTCCCAAAGGTCAGATCAGACAAGATGCCTAAGGACAAAGAAGTCATGGTGAGTGTTTCTCATCCCACCACCAGGCACCTGAAATTAGAAATGCCAGGGGCCTTACTGAGGGAAGCTGCTATCAGATATAAAAGTATCCACTGCATCTTCATGGTGCCTTCAGAATGAAGACAACACACTGCCCCAGCCTGTGAGTGGATTTCCCTGCCATCAGCCAGTGTGATTTGTATGTGAGTCTGGGATTTAGAAGAGGAGAGCCAGGTGACCGCTGGCTCTGTGCAGTGGGCCTGCTTGAGTTTGGCAGTGTGGCTCTGAGATTCAGTCCTGGCTGCGTTCCTCTGACTGTTCCTGTTCCTGTTCCTCTGACTACATGGGATGCTGCTGCAGCTTATGATCAAGTAAACAAAATGCTGAAAATTTTCCTTTACTATGAGGCCATCATACTCTAACTGTAATTTTAAGTTTTGGAGAGTCTCTTCATGGAAACATTTTTAGTCATTTTTCTGCTCCAATTTGACCCAGAAATCTGAAGACACTGAGTGATCGTCCATCTTAGTCAGACATAGGTCTTTGGAAGATTCCTCCTGATTTGTTCGCCAGTGTCTTCACCTTCTAAAGAAATAATGTGCTGTTCCTGATAGGTGAATAGGTTGTAATTCAAGTAACTCAGGCAGATGCTGTGCCACTGAGCTATATTCCTGATCTTCTGTTCCTTTGTTTGAGACAGTCCACTTTCTCTCACATATTTATCCTGTAAACTATATTGTTTCTTTGAATCATATTAATGATGAGTGGTTGTTGTATAGTTAGACTAATTTTGTAGTTAGAATAATTTTCTCAGGTAGGATAATTTTGTGGAAAAGTAGAACCCTGAGTGACTTCTGTCTGGACCAGGATCTATGACCACTTCTCAGTGACCAGCGCTCCCTTTCTCCTCAAAACCTTCTGTGATCATTTTTAGTTTTCCCCCTTGAGATCCCAGGATCCTATTGAGGTGCATGATGTGAAGTCACTGTAGATGTCTACTGTGCTCCAGTTATCCACCATCTCCCCTTACCCATACCTGCACTCTGTAACTCTAGCTTCTTGTGCAGCAAGATGCAGGGCTCTGCTGTGACTCTGGATGTCTTGACTTGTAGGAGAGCAGGGAGGGTTAAGTTGCTGAGCACAGTCCTCAGTGGATGCACTGAAAAGCTCACAATCACAGCCTCTAAAGATAAAGTTGTGACTGCACAGGGAGCTGAATCTCACGCCAAGGATTCTCGTGTAATGAAACTGTCAATCACAAAGACCAGACAGTTCTCATAAGCAGCATATTTTACTGCCTTTGTTCAAACTACTCTCACTGGTATTATACACCCTGAATCTGTGGAACAAAATGGGCCTTCAAGGATACATGGTCTTTACTCCTGAGATAGTTCTGCCCTTCTAGGATTCTCTCATACCATATAATTTTTATCTATTTAAGAATTTAGGGTACACTGTTTTTAAGAGATTATGGATTAGACCAAGACCCAAGTATTCTACCTCCAGCTTTCTTTGTTGATTATTCAATCTGAAGTTTTATTTCTTTCTTGGGATTATGAAAAAAATTATGTTGTTTATTTTATGCATAACTTTGTAGACCTGAGTATGTGGGTAATGATTTTGTATGACTTATAGTTTCAAGTAGAAGCTGGGCCCACATTTTGTGGCCAAATTTCAACTCTTACATGAGTCAGGGTTCTAAGATTAGTAACTGAAAATGATATTTTCACAATCAGGATGGAACACTAAAAAAAGAGAAGAAGGAAATGGAAGGAAACTAGATATTTCTGTGATTTTCTGGTGGGACAAATACAAAAGTTACAACAGAGGAGATCTATCTATATCTCAGGTGGTGATGTGTTCTGGATGTGTCCTCATTTTGTCTTTGAAGCAACAAATGCACCTGGGACATCATATCAGCAAGAGAAAAATCTCAGTCTTAAACCACAAGAAACCTCAGTGATGATGCTGGTCCAGCTGAGGTGTAGAGCAGGGGTAAGAGGTAGAGGTGCATCTGACTACCCAGGAGCAGTGTGAATGTGAGGTACTTGGTCACATCTGAGGGAGAGTATGTGAGAACATCACCTCAGCTCTGCCTTCAGGAAACAGGCACATGTGCAGGTTGGGTGTGTAAATGATTTTCTTATCTCCACATTGTGTGTTCATGTTTCAAAGAAGACCATGACCAATATATATATATATATATATATATATATATATATATATATATATGAACATAACTAAAAGAGTAATAGTAAATATACAGACATATGGCATTATGTCTAGACCACTAAGGTATATGTGACTGACAATTATAGAATTAACTGAGATTAAAAGAAACAAGTGTAAAGGGATAAATATGAGAATCTATGTAAGAAAGAAATGGGGAATTTTATGAAACAAGGGTATTTATTGGACTTTACATGGTCTCATTAATTAACACTTTGAAATCAGAAAAGGAAAATGAGAAACAGAGAGAGACAAAGACAGAGACATAAACAGAGAGACAGAGAGAGAGAGACAGAGACAGAAAGAGAGACTGAAAGACAGAGATAGAGACAGACACAGACCAATAGAGACAGAGACAGAGATACAGAGAGGTATCACAGTGAATTTGGCTGTATTTTATGACTCACTAATTTCTAAGATCCAAAATAAAGATGTAGACCCAAGTTCACCTCATCACCCTTTGACAAAATGAGAACACAAAATCCTGTGGAATCTGTCCTAAATCCAGTCAGCTGCCCCTTTTACTTTCACAAGGTGCTGGGGCTGATCTTGGGGACCAGATCTCCCCAGGATGCAGAGGAGAGGAGAGGACTGTGTGTTCTCAGGCCCTGTTCACAGAGATGGGCAGGATTTAATTTCCTTAGGTGGTGCATTTATTTCTACATGAGAAAACCCATTATCGGGAAAAAGTTAGATGAATTTTTAGATGATGATGATGATTTAAAAGAAACCTAATTCTGACAAATTTATAAGTTTTTTGAATTGGATACAAGTGTTGTTTTCGCATCAAGTGAGATTCTTACAAAAGAGATAAAGAAAGTTAAAACAAATAAGCACTTATGCCATTAGATTTGAATGAAAATGTTTACTTGAACACATCGGACGCCATCTGAAGTCTTTGAATTTCAGGGTGTCCATGGGTGACAGGATTTAAAGCAGAGAGGAAACCCCAGAGGCCACCAGGAAGCCCTCATTTGCCAGCTTCTTCCCCTGCACCTGCTCCTGGGCTGTTTCTCTGTGGGACACAGTGCCCCCTGCAGGTTCCCATGCCTCTGCAGGGAGGTTTGTGTCTGGGCTTCAACGGATGTCCACTCACTGTGAATCTCTCACAGTAATACATGGCCCTGTCTTCGGGTCTCAGGATGCTCATCTGCAGATACAGTGTTTTCTTGCCGTTGTCCCTGTTGGTGAATCTGTCCTTCATGAAGTCGGTGTAATATATTTTACTACTGTCAGAGTTTATGTGAAAGATCCACTCCAGCCACTTTCCTTCAGACTGGCGGACCCAGATCATCCAGTAGTTACTGAATGTGAATCCTGAAGTGGCACAGGAGACTTTCAGCGATGTGTAGGGTGCACCACGTATCCTCCTGCCTCCATCATCTGGGCGTCAGCCTGAAAACACAGGGACATCCTGCTCAGGAAACTGTCACACATGTCCACACTTTATACCCGACAAACCCATTTCCCCATTCCATATCCTTTGTTCTCAATAATTTACATCTCAGAAGTGCAAAGAGGAAGAAACACCTCAGCCCAAAATCCATAGTGATCATCTGTGCTGATTCCTGATCCTCAAGTAGGAACAGCTGGACCCCAGGCTGGGCTATTCTGAAGAGCTGCAGGATGAGGACTGGGCTGGATTTTATGAGCACAGGCAGGCCTTATTTACAAGGCCTCCTGCTAAATAGACAGTGCTGTATTCGCACCCTCAGAGCAGGCAGTGTCCTCATCAGATATGACTTTGCTGGAAACGTTTGGAAACAAAGATGCATTCAAGAGAATGCGACAACTCATAGTGCTAGGTGTATAGCTTGAGATCACTCTGCCTGCCTGTGTGGTGTCCAGTGCTAGGTCCTGAGATGGAACTCAGATACAGAAAACAATTGGTAACTCAAGTAATTGGGTTCTATTTTATTTTCAACTCTTGATTGGCTTTGATTTTTATTCCTATGCACGGATCATGGATTTTTATGTTAATGCGGGCTGCTATGAAAACATGTGAAATGCTGAGTGTCATGACAGCTGTGTTCTCGGCATAGGATCTGATACAGTGTGAATATTACTCCCACTATCTAGGCCTTTGCTCCCCTGATCCTTAAGCAGACTGATTGCCCATCCAGCTCCTGGAATCTACTATCTCTTTGACAGTTCACTACTATCAAGAAAAAACTGAATATAGAACTCAAAATATAAGACCCCCTCAAAATAATAAATGGACAATTGAAATGAAGAAATGCTTTTCTGAGATAGAAGTAGAAAATGTCAATAAATAAATGAAATATTTTCAACATTAGCAATCAAGGGAAGCAATTCCAAACTTTCAACATGCTACCTGAATATTTATTCTGCAGCATATCCTGGTGAGCACTTCTTAAATTTCTCCATTTACCATATTCTGGTTTGTACCCAGACTTGTTCTACATTCTGTGCTACACATACCTCTTCATTTTCTTCCCAATATTCTAATCCATTATTTCACCTAAAAGTTTTCCACATTTCTTTTATCATCCATTTTATCCAACATTCTTTTTAAATTTCTTATCACTATATGTTTGTGACAGGTAATGGTTACATGTCACATCATTCCCCTACTATTTTCTCTGCCCCAGATTTTTTCACATTTCCGCAAAGGGTAATTTTCAGTTCTTTAACAAGGTTATTTTGTTCTTTAAATTGTTTCTAATGTGTATCTCTTATTTTAGACAGATCATGTGATGTTTAACATAGTTGTCTGAATTAGCTCGCTCTTATTTACTTCAGAGGAAACGCAAAGAGGAAGTTAAAACTAATATGGCACAAACAGTATGTGCCATATTTCTAAAATAACTCAAATTTGTCTCTCTTTTGTATATATACCAGACTTTCTGCCTTCATTTAATCATGAGTATAAATAGCTCAGTTCCATATTTTATCTATTGTGAGCTGTGGTATTATAAATATGCATCACTGTAATATGATGACTTTAATATTACAGTATCAAACACATAGAGTAATTCACATTCATGTAAGAACATAACAGTTGTTAACACAACTAAAATAGTATATATTAATTTGTTTAATGTCTTAAATGTGCTGTTGTTTTTTAATATACTCTAGAGAAAAATAAAAATGGTTTGCTGCAATTTTGTGTGTGATGTAACACTTGAAAATGTTTCATGCACATCAGTATCACCACACATGTGTTAAATGATCTATTTTGTTAAAGGCAAGAGCACTTTTCAAGCCATGATGAGTCTGGGAGGAGAATAAGCCAAATTCACTCTTCCGTTGACCCAGTGTAAACCATGCTGGGCCTGGGAGGAATAAAAAGAAGAACAAGAATCCAATTCCCCTTCCTGGGAGCCAACTAGTTGATCTGACTAACAATCCCACCCTGAACATGAGTTAGGATTACGTGGGAAAAGCTCCTAGATTTGGTTCCTGAGGGGGAGTTGCCCAAAGACAAGGGGATTGAATGGCATCAGAAAAAGTGGCAAGAGAGAGGGAAATGTTTTGAGAAAAAAAAAATGGATAACCTGCCAGATAATTCACACTGTAGGATTTGGCAAGATATTTTGTAATTTCAACACATTGCTTAAATCTTGGAAATATGGACCCCAGCACTGCAATGCTTTTATTAATAGAGAGAAAACTTCCCTGTACCTCATCTTCATATAGGGATGAAGCATATGTGGTAAGCGCAAGCCAGGGCAGTGTTTCCAGGGTCCTGCCCCAGACCTGTACTGAAGTCATCTGCCTTAGTTATATTTTATTCGTCACTGAGACAAAATGCCTGATGACCAAAGTTGGGAAAGGAAAGATTTATTTCTTGCAGTTTTTGGAGGTTTCAGTCCATACTCAGTTTGTGCCAAGGCAGGGTAGCATGACTGAGCACAGTTCACGGTGGCTGAAAACATCAAGGCAGAAACCCGCAAGAGAGAGTGGCACACCTTCTTCCAGCAATTATATTGTATGCTGGCTCCACCCCTACGTAGGTGTAGCACTGACACCATCAATCCAAGCACTAGACAATGAACCAATTACGAATGCACAATGCAACCCCATGAGGCCTGGAGACCACTAACATAAATTATGGTACATCTAATTGACACGTGCCCTTAAACATATCCATACACCCTAAGTCTATGCACCACTCGGAATGCTGACATAAAGTGTATGAGGCTTTGAAAAGACATAGGGATCCATGCCAAAGGAGAGATGAGGTCTAGGTATGTAGATAAATATTACCCCTTGGCATCATTTTTAAACTGTCATAAAGGCAACCTAAAATAATAAAATGGTAAAACGCAAGTCCTCTTGTGATAGACTCCCTGCTCCATGTGTTCCCGAACACAGCCTGCTGGTCCTCTGAGACACTGTACGGAGTTTTTTGTCTGGGCTCAGACTGATGTCCCCTATTTTGTTTTCTGGCAGAGTAATACACTGCCGTTTTGTCAGGACCCTGGCTGCTCATCTGCAGATACAGGGTTTTTGCTGTTGTCTGTGGAGATGATGTATCGACCCTTCATGGAATCTGCATATTCTGCATATTCATATTACCATAACTAATCCCTGAGTTCCATTCCAGTCCCTTCTCTGGAGTCTGGAAGATCCAGCTCATGCAGTAGCTACTGTACGTGAATCCAGAAGGCCACCCAGTAGAGTCTCAGGGACCACACAGGCTGCAATGAAGCCTCTGACAGACTCAGCAGCTGCTCTTCACCCGGGACACCTGCAAACACAGGGACTTCCTGCTCAGAAAACTATCACCGATTTTCCACTGATGCCCTCAGCATCTTTTGTTCTAAATAATTTTCCTATTGAAAGTTGTAAGCAGGAAAATGCAACTAAGCACCAGCTCCATGGTGAGCCATCTGTGCTCAATCCTGATCACTGACTGGGATCACCTGGGCACCATGGCTTGGCTCCTCTGCAGAGCTGCAGGTTGGGGCTGGGCTGATTTTCATCAGCACAGGAAGGCCCCATTTGCATGGCTTCCTGCTATACAGACAGCTTGGAGCATGAAAATCTAACACAGGGCTCTGTCCACCAAGGATGTGAGTGTGATGATGGAGTTTAGCAACAATTATTCACTTCAAGATGACATGAGAACCAACTGTGAGTAAATGTCTTGGTATCTCTCTCTGTTCATGTCCTTTTATTTCTCCCCATGCTTTCAAATCACAGCTTTCCCTCCTGTCCTACATGCTGTTTTTTACTCTAATTAAAGTCAATTTTTTAACTCATAGTGGCCCCAATGTTTGAAACTTTTCTTGTATTAATTTAAAAGTCTAAGATAAACAGCATCTGAATGAACTATGCGTCAGATTTGGATAACTCCGATCAGATTGTATTTAGAAAATTAACTGTACTCAGTGCTTCCCAAATTCAGTATTGGTCCTGTCACAGGGTGGACATTCCCAGTCCACAGAGCTGATGGAACAGAGTAAAAATGTCCACAAAGCACGAAATCCCCACTAGATCAGCATTTCTACCTCATGACTTACAGTTACCCTTTGTGATGTCATGTCACTGTGACACAAAGTCACAATTTGAGAAGGTTCTGGAAGAATCTTCCATGCAACACATGGGTGTGAGCTCAAGCCTGCTGGCTCCCACAATGGTATTCTAAGGTGATGGCACTGCAGGCTAGGGGTATTGTGGCAAACAGGGCAAAACAGGTCAACAAGGCTAAAGGTTTGCAACCTCTGTGCTGGTTCTCACACAACCCTGGTGGTGGCAATGGCTCTGTGTGGTCTCTGCAGTGTCCCCCCTCCTGCGGTGGTTCCTGCCTATGTCTGCAAAGCCAGGGCTTGGTTTCAAAGCCAGATGGAGACATCCATGCAGTCAACTTGTTAGAATCTGTGGCTCTGTATAAGGAGTGTACCGTGGACTCCACAGACAGATGCGCTCTGTGTATCCTGCCATATCAGTGGCTGTGGCCCATGTTTCTCTTAGAAACACAGAATTAGATTTCTTTTACATGTTAAATCATCATCATTAAAAATTCATCTAATTTTTTCCAGATAAGGAGTTGTCTCACGTAGAAATAAATGCACCACATTAGGAAATTAAATCCTGCCCACCTCTGTGTACAGGGCCTGAGAACACACAGCCCTCTCCTCGGCTTCGCATCCTCAGGAGATCTGGTCCCAAGGAACAGTCCCAGCACCCTGTGAAAGGAAGAGGAGAAACCTGACTGGACTCAGGCAGAGTCCCCAGGCTTCTGTGTGCTCATTCTGTCAAAGAGCAATGAAGTGAACTTGGCCCTGCATCTTGGTTTTGGGTCTTAGAAATTAGTGAGTCATAAAATACAGCCAAATTCAGTGTAATATATTTCTGAGTTCCAGTCTCTGTCTTGAATGGTCTCTCTCTCTCTCTCTCTCTCTCTCTCTCTCTCTCTCTCTCTCTCTCTCTGTGTGTGTGTGTGTGTGTGTGTTTCTCATTTTCCTTTTCTGATTTCAAGGTGTTAAATAATGAGAATATGTAAAGTCAAATATTCTAGCTTCATAATATTCCTATTTCTTTCCTAAATAGATTCTTATATTTCTGCCTTTACATTTCTTTGTTTTATCTCAGTTAATTCTATAATTATGAGTCTCATATAGCTTAGTTGTCCTCATATAATGCAATATGCCTGCATACTTACTATTATACTTTTAGTTATGGTCTTTTTAATATTTTTTTTATTATGGTCGTCTTTGAAACAGGAACATACCATCTGGAGAAAAAAACAGATGCCTCTTTCTTGAAGGCAGAACTGAGATGAGGTTCTCACATACAGGCCACTGTCCCTCAGATAAGATCATGACCTCACAGTCACACTCCTCCTGTGTAGTTAAATGCACCTCCACCTCCTCCCCCTGCTCTGCACCTGAGCTTGACCAGCATCATCACTGTGGTGTCCTGGGGTAAAGGAATTAGAATTCCTCTTCCTGATGTGATGTCCCAGGTGCATCTGTTGTTTCAGAGACAAATGAGGACAGCTCCAGAAAACATTACCTCCTGAGATATAGATAAATCTCCTCTGTTGTAACTTTGGAATTCCCTCACCAGAAAATCCCAGAAATCTCTAGTTTCCTTCTGTTTCTTTTTTCTCTTTTGTTTAGTGTTCAGTCCTGATTGTGAAAACATCATTTTCAGTTACTGATCTTAGAACTCTGACTAATCTAAGATTTGTTATTTGGCCACTGAACTTGGGCCTAGATTTCACTTGAAACTATAAGGCACAAAATCATTATCCACATATTCAGTTCTACAAAATTATGGATAAAAGAACAACACAATTTTTCATGAGTCTAAGAAAGAAATAAAACTTCATATTGAATGATCACAAGAAACTTTGAGGTAGAGTACTCAGGCCTTGGCCCAACCCCCAATCTCCTAAAAGTAATGTATCTTAAATGCTGAAATAGATGAAAAAAATGTGGTTGGGGGGAATCCTGAAAGATCAGAACTTTGCTGTAACTTCCTTCCCTTCTCCTTTTCTCACATAGGTGAGACTCCAAATGGACTCCTTCCCATCTGCAAGAGATATGCTCACTTGTCTCCTTCTAGCCTTCCTTTTCCATGCTGTTTGTTTGCATTTTTCCTTACTCAGAAAAGAAATCCTGTAAGGTATTTAAGCTTCCGTGTCTGATTTGTTTCTCTCAACATTGTATTTTCAAAGTACACACCTTTTCCTACAAATATCTTCAATTTGCTCTTCTTTGTATGTGAGTAGCATTCCATTAAGTATGGGAAGCACATCCATCATCTGTTATTAGCCTTACAGGCTGCTTGAAGGACTAAGCTCTTAGGGACACTGCTGCTTGGACATTGGTATGCACACATCACTGAAGTGTGTCATCCCTACATCTTTGGGATCACCAAGGTATGTTGATTTTGGGAAGACTAAGGGTTAAGGTGCTGTGGATGGGAAACCTTGTGTTCAAGGACAAGTGCTAAAAGCTTAACCAGAAGCATGACCATAAGAACAGGGCATGGTAAAGGGACTTACCTGCAAGCTTAAGGGAACTTCTGCATTGTAAGTGTTTTGCTTCTTTTCTATACTGTGGAGTAATAGTCCAAATTACATTTAATAGTCTAAATCAGTCAACCCTGCCACACTACCACATCCCTTTTATGTTGTTTCCTCAGAGGCATTAGGAGCCAAAAATGACCATTGTTAATTCCTCAGCTTCCGGTTCCATGAAATCATCATTGTGGTGCATGGTGCAAGCCTCCCCATTTCTTCAGAAGGAGGACAGATAGGCCAGCAGAGCACATGATTGCGTGAATGTGAAGCACAAACGTTACTTGTAGTTCACCAGGGATAATGGGGACTGGTGCCTTTCCCAGTTCCACTGTTAGAGGAAAACCGATATCAAAATGAACGGAAGAATCTTTGCACTGAGGCATGAAGATGGCAACTGCTTACTGTGCTGCCAGGCTGAGAGCCACCTCAGATCTTGATCATCAGCACTGAGGCAGCTGTGTGTCAGTTTACCTATAGTTTGCAAGCAGGAAATACAAGCATTGCATGATCGTTACAGGAAACGAATTAAGTCATATAGTGTCAGATAAGCTAACTCTGCACACATTTGTTTAAAAGGAATTGCTTATCATAACAAAGGTACACCCTGGAAATGATGGGTGGGAGGTTCAACTGCAGTAAATGGAGTAAAAAAAAATATCTTTGACTGAGTTACTTTACCCCAATCAAAGCCCTTGAAGACAGTTAGGAGCAATGCATTTACTTCATTAATGGAAAAATCAACTGGAACACTCAAATTGGTCCTACACAGTATCTGAAAAAAAGCAACTTGATCCAGACATCAAGGCTGCCTGTACTCAGCAGGGTGTTTACCTGGGAGGGGGCAGGAGTTAGACCGAGTCTGCTGTTTGATTTTACTATGCTGTTACACATATGTAAATTGGAGGTTTTTTTGTTTTGTTTTGTTTTGTTTTGTTTTGTTTTGTTTTGAGACAAGGTCTTGCTGTGCATTGGGCCTCAACTGGCGCTCACTTTGTAGCCCAGGCTAGTCTTCAATTAGCAACAACCCTCCTGCCTCAGCCTTCCCAGCACTGGGATTACAGGCTTGAGCCACCACACCCAGCTTTATCTAGTTATTTTATAACTTTGCTTTTGTTAATAATTTAGTTGTGCCCCAACACAGTCTCTTGATTCCTGGACCCATGAACTGTGGCTATGGCATACAAGTTATGATAAAGTACACCCTGGTTTAAAGCACACAGGGCCTTCCTAAGAGGTCTGAACCAGCCCTGCAATGTTTCTCTGTTTTTCTTGGTGATGTACTGCATCTTCAAATGGCTGTTGTGGTGCCTCTTATCTTTGGGCACCCACACTCTACTCTTGAGTGCACCTCTATTAATTTCTTCTCAAGTCACTTTAAAAAATAGGGCCAGGGACTTAGCTCAGCAGCATAAGTGCCTTCCATGCAAACATGCAGTGGTGAATTCCGTGCCTGCTGAAAAAAAAAAAAAATTGAATCGTGTGTTGTACCTCTTCCTGATCTCTCACTATACTCTAGGGTACAGATTTTTTTTTGTCTTTTTCTTTTTTAATGGTACCTGGGATCGAACTCACCACTGCCTGCTTGTGAGGCAGGCGCTTATGCCACTGAGCTAAATCCCCAGCCCCTTAGGGTACAGATTTACTTAATAATAATGTGACATTAAAGCAAATTTCAATGCTGAAAAGGTACTTTGTGTTTTACTGGAAATTTAAGAAAAATCATAAGTATGAGACTATGAAAAGAATATATAAACTGCACTTGTACTGTGAATAATTCATACATCATCTGAAGCCTGTGTATTTTGGTGCTCTTCAAGTTATGTGATATTAATACCCAAATGAAACCCCGAAGGCCAACAGGAAGCCATCAACTCTCTGAATCCTGTTCTTCACCTGCCCTGGGCCCTGGCCTGTGACCCATGGATTCCCATCACCCCCTGCTGGTCCTTTGCCATTATCTTTAATATAAGAGTATGATAAGGACAGATCCTGAGGGAAATTTTGCTCTCCACATAAAGTATTTTTTTTTCTACACTGTAGAGTAGTATTCCAGTTTCCCTTGGATATTCTGGGTAAATCACTACTGCCTCATTATCATTCCTTTTAACTTATGAAGAGGTAGGAGGCAGGAGGGCCCAAAATAACCAGGGGAATCCTCGGCTGCAGGATCTATGAAATCATCATTCTGCTGCATGATATTAGCTTCCTGCTCCTTTGAAACTAAGGCACCTAAGCCAGCAGTGCACTCATTTGTGGGAACAAAGATGTAGAAAATTTACTTGCAGGTCACTAGGAGCAGCTATAATTGGTACCTTTCCCAGTTCCACAACTTGATTCCTGAGCCCATGAAATGTGCCAAGGCAGGCAAATTACCATGGAGCATACCCTGGTTAAAGACACATATGAACTTGGGAAGAATCAAACCAGCCCTGCAAGGTATTTTCTTGTAAAAGGTGCTGCCACTGCACCTTCAAAAGGCGACTCTGTGCCTCACTGCTCTGAGTGGCTACACTCTGCTCCTCAGTGCACTCTACACCACCCTGTAATAAAATGTTCTTCCCCTCACTTTAAAACAAGAGCAGCTTGAGTAGCTCTTCACATGATGCCTTCCACTACTGAGTGTGTCTTAATATTTTTTTTCTATTAATTCCTTTTTACCTGACCAAGAATTACTCTGAGCCCATTTATTTTGCCAACACTTCTGAATTTTGCCCTCCTGTGATATATCTGGAACTTTGCCACCTTTAAAAAAGCAGGAATTATGTAACACTGGGAATGTAATAATAGATGCACAGCCATGTACATAAATCTCTTCTGAGGCTCCCAAGAAGATTGCAATGAGGAGAGGAAAAGACAACTTTTAGCAGTTGTTGTAGAGAAGTTAGGGAAAAGTGGTTCCACAGAACTTGGGCCTCCCAGGAGGGACCCACAAACTGTGGTGTGATGACACCTGTGCACTGTATGGCCAGGGCCAGCTGAATGAGGAAATGAGAATCCTACTGAAAGCTGCAGAGCTTTGTTGGCAATGATTTTCAGAAGATCTTGATGGGATGAAGAAAGATCTATGGGTAGGAATCACACATGGTCAGATGCCCTACATTCTGTACCCTCAGGGTCATACAAAGGAGACTTTTCATCTTTACTATCAGAAAATAAAACTCGAGCTAATAGACAGGAGATAGCCAGCTATACCTGCAGCTAACACAATTACAATTAGTAAGGACCACATTGTTTTTGACTCCCACAACAACGGGAAATTAACAACTACAGAAGGCTAGAGCTTAAATTTTCTAACAAACAACTTCACATTATAGAAATTTAAAAATGTTTACTTGCTGTGAGTTTAAAGTAGAAACATCAATGCGACAAAACATCTGCAGGTCCACACTTTCAATGCCCTGATCACTCTTACCTATAAGGATGCAAGCTTCCTGGATCTGCCAAACAAACAAACAAAAAAAGAAAGAAAGAAAACAAACAAAATCCCAGCAGAAAAACAGTAATAGCTCACAAAAGCAATAGAAATGTTGCAGGAATAGAATCCAGAAAATTTAGCTGCATTTAAGCTGACCATGGAAAAAGGAAAATTTTTTCAGGCAATGTTTGCAGAATGAATCTAATACTCATGAACTCTATTCCCGCCACAATAGACACTCTATTAATGTGCCAATAGGGTAGTAGGGCAGTGCCTGATAAAAATTAACACTTTCCATTTTATTAACATGATAATGATGATGATGTTTATGAAGTTAATGATGAAAAGGAGAAGGAACAAGAGGAGGACCAGAAGTTTGATGTGGTTTGTGAGTCAGGGTATCACTATGCAATTCAGGCTGTCCTTGAACTCCACTGTGGAAACTACTGACCTCAGCCCAAGAATCAGCACACAGACACAAATCTTGCCATGTTTTTTCCAGGCAAAACATATTACCATGTGCACTGCCCAAAGTGCTATCCAATGTGACGATTTTTCTTCATTATTGAACATCTGAGCCCTCCTGAATAGGGGCTGCGATTCCATAGCTATCTATCTGTGTGTGGTGCCTGCAAAATGCACAGAATTCACTGTAAACCAGGTCACAGTGTCCTCTTCCTCTGCAGCTGGTCATGACCTACCTTCCAGGAGGCCATAGGTGCATGCTGCTAAACTAAAGGGTACACTGTAGGGGTAGAAGCCCCTGGGCATTTGGGCAGCTTTTTCACGTACCTTGCTTCTGCCAAATGGATGCCCTGTGTTGATCACATGTGCACCTCTTCCATTTCATGATGAGCTGTTACTGTGTATTTCCAACTGTCTGACTTAGCGGATCGCTAATATCCAGGTCATAATAGGCAGTTTAGAATGCAAGTTACCCTGGTGACTCTTGTTCAAGCTTTCAATGTACACTGAGGCCTGTTACAAGGAATGAGCAGCCTCACAAATGGAGAGAATCTATTTTCAGGTGATGACCCACACTTCATTCAAAATTGTAAAGGCCTTTGCTGTTAATTACCAGTGAAATCCTACCTCAGAAAATAAACAACATTCTTATCTGTCACAGACATTGCAAATTCCATTCAGTGTTCTGGATCATATAGCCCAGCTGCAGGACAGTCTACACAGAACTGTGGACCTCTTGCAGAGTTTGTTGTCCTCCTCGACCACACTCAAATTAGAACCTTTCTGAAGCGTTTAGTAAACAGCTAGAGCAAATCCCTTTAGTGAGGTTGTGTTGGTGTCAGAATCCAAATTGGGGCACTCAACTTTATGCCTCTGGTCTAATGATGGTTGAGATGTGACCATTTATCTTTCAACTTAGAAAGGATAGCTATGAATGTCTCATTGGGCTCCTAGAAGTGTGACTAAATTTCAGGGACCTTAAATTTTAATTGCAAGTATGTTGGAACATGTTCTAATTTCAAGTCCAGGGTGGTTCCCAAACTGGGCTCATTTGGTGCAAATGACCTCATATTATCAGTGAAAGAGACCAGAGGAACACCTTGTGGGAGATAAAGATGATCAAGATCCCTGGGGAGTAAGTTGTGACCCAGGAATGAAGAGTTAATATCTCTCTGAGGCAGGACACTGCAGCTCTTAGACTGCTGATCTCGCCATCTGAAACCTCATTCTTCCACTGTGATTATGGTTGATATGGAAAGGAACACTTGTGTCACATCAACAACTCTATTCGACTTGTGAAGAGATCAAAAAACCATTACCAACCCATCATCAAAGAAACTTCATCTGCTCAGAAGTACAATCGGAATTGGTACTTGACTGAATTCATGATCATTCACTCCCATTCTCCAGGAACAATCAATCTTCTGCAAGGCCCAAAAAGACTGAAATGAGATATGGTGGGATCCAGAAGTCTTACATCTTTTAAAACTTGCATAGAGGCACTGCAATCCCTTAATCCCACAAGGAATGTGATACTGGTTTTGGTTTACTATTTTTCCAAAGGCAACTGTAATAGCTATTATTTGTCCTAAAAGTCCTGATAATTTTATTCCTTCATATAAAAGCACTGAATTAACTATGGTCAACTGTGATACTTGGCTGAACTTAGCATGGCCCTGGATGTTAAGTCCCACCTGAGGACTCTTGCCAGCAGCATAAAAGCAGAAGTGGAGGGAAAGTTGGTTTGTTACTGATGCTCCTTGAGAAGCTTGTCTTGGTGGTTTTCCTGAATGAAACTCACCTGTTATTCTTGTCAGAAGAGATCAGGTTATGTCAGTCATGGAGGATGGCTGCTGCTCTTCTTGGCAGAGCTGCGACATTTATTTTAAGCAGTGTTTCATGGATGCAATGCAGATCCCTCAGCCTGCAGCTTAGATCCTTCATCCCATTGATGCAGGCTTTCTAACTTTCACCACTGACCTTTGGGCCTTTCTGGTGCAGATTCTTCACAAAGACTTGTATGGGACATTTTTGTGGGCTCTCAGCTTCCATCTAGTGTAGTGGAGGACATTGCAATTAGTACTGGTCCTTAGCTGGATTCATTGGCTCTCTGGTGTGTAGACAGATCTCCTGCATTCTTCTGCATTTTTATTGATCCAGTGAATAATATAAAACAATCCTATAAATTATGTGTCTTGTTAAATATGTTTCCTTGTAAATCCTGAATATACCATGAAGTATAACTTTAATGCTCAGACATAAAAGGTACCTGAAGTAAAAGTGAGGGTTCTGAAAGTGAAAAATTAGATCCTGGGCATTGGGATGGAGATATTTGTGAGTAACCTTATAAGCTGGAGCATACTGAACTCCTGAACTCAGATTATCTTGCCAATTGGAGAAATTTCCCTCCTCACAGGGCCCAAAGTATTCACACACACATGCCTGTGATGTCAACCTTGCCACTGTTACCTGAGGAAACTCAGCCTGTGTTACCAAGCATAATAATTCTGAAACTCCTCAGATCCCACACTCAACAGCCAGTTAGGCCTTTAGGCCTGTAACCAGGTTCGAATCCCGGAAGGTTTGTAAGGGGCAGTGGCACAGTGTGAGCCATAAGGAGGTCTACTATTCTCCCAAAGAACATCTTGTTTTCCTAACTCTTGTCAGCAGAGGCCTGATGAGCAAGTGTGGGAATGGATTTTCTGGGTATGGGACAATCGTGGCAAAACATATGTTGGGTCAAGTTGAGTGTGAACAGTGTGGATGTGCACCCCTTGGAAAGAGACCAAGAGATGGGCATAGTGTCATGAGCCAAAAGACCATCACGGAGGAGCCTGAAGTGAAAGGACTGCTCTGAATTCAAGGCCAGCCTGAAACCCTGTCTCAGAATGACAGATAGAGAGAGTGGGTGCCCTGCAGGAAGATTTGTGTCTGGCTCACACTGATGTCCCTTCACGGTGGCTCTTGCATGGTAACAAAGGGCTGTATCCCTGGATGTGTGGCTGCTCGTCTGTAGATGCAGTGGGATAGCCTTGACACTGTCTCTGGAGATGGTGAATCAGCCCTTCACAGGGTCGGTACAGTGTGTGTTACCACCACAATGAGTTCCTGTAGCCCTTTCACGGAGCTGGTAGTCCCAGTTCATCCAGCAGTCACAAAAGGTGAGTCCAGGGTCTTCTTGGGAAGTCTCAGGGAAGCCACCAGCTGCACCAAGCCTGCCCTCCTGGACTGCACCAGCTGCACCTCAAACTGAACACCTGAAAACTCAAAAATATTTTAATTTTGTGCTGTTTTTTCATTGAATAAATTTATAACATTAAAATACTTGAGGTGATGAATATGATACAAACATGATTTAGTGTCATCAACTTTGCTGTACATAGACATTTTTGATGTTTGTCCATGAGCTTCTTGGGACAGAAAATAAATATTAATACATGACATTTGCTAGAAACATTGGTGTAGAACATAATTTAGAAAAAAATATTTGGCAGAAGTTTTGTTCATAGAAAAAGCTGATAATTATTGAACTCTCTGAATGTCTAAGTACTTAGGATCATGGCTTTTTATGAATTAAATTCTACTTGAAAAGCACAGTTTAAGTCCCTTTTCTGACAGTATTATATGATTTTTCATTGTGAGTAGGTCAAAATATGACTTGTATGTAATTATACATCTGATGGAAAATTTTTGTCTTTTTGTCCAGCATATTATCTGTGAGAGACATGTGAGATGATGCATTTTGAGACATTCAAGCAAATTTATACTGTATTTTACTAACTTCTTTTACGTTACATTATAAAACATTGAAAAAGTTATTCTTTTCTTTGAGAAAAGGCTACAAAATAAAAAAAAAACCACACTGTTTCAATAATATTAACAATAGCAAACTGTATTACACTATTTTGTACAATAGATTTCTTGCTTTTTGTTAGTTTTGGAAAATGAATCTATAATTCTGGGGTTAGTTGGCATTTTATGTAGTTATTATTTTATAATGTTTCTTTGATGTTTCCATTGTCCCATAACATCACTTTTTAAAATTTCATAATGCTAATCTAAAATAATAAAATGGTAAAATACATGTCCTTTTGCAGATTCTGTGCTGTGTTCTCCAGTGACCCCTGCTGATCCTCAGCGCCCCTGCACGGAAGTTTATGACTGACTCCCATGGAGGTTTCTCTCACTGTGTCAGTTGCACAGAAGTACACGGCCCTGTCCTCTGGTTTCAGGCTGCTAATCTACAGATACAGAGTGTTGTTGGCGTTATCTCTGGAGATGGTGAAGTGGACCTTCAACGAGTCTGCGTAATATGTACTAATACCACTACTGATTACTGAGATCCACTCCAGCCCCTTCCCTGGAGCCTGGCGGAGGTGATCCATCCCATAATTACTTAAGGTGAATCCCGAGGCCACACAGGAGTGTCTCAGGGACTCACCAGGCTGTAAAAAGCCTCCCGCCAGACTCCATGAGCTGCCCCTCTGCCTGGACACCTGCAAACACAGAGACATCCTGCTTAGTGAAGTGTCGGACACAACCACTGTGTAACCCATGCATTTTCACTGGTCCCCTTAGCATCTTTTGTTCGAAATAATTTACCCTTGAAAATTGCAAACAGGAACACCCAGATCAGCGCCAGCTCCATGGGGAGCCATCTGTGGTCATTCCTGGCCACTGAGTGGGAACAGCTCAGCACCAAGGCTGGGCTCCTCTGCAGAGCCACAGGGTCAGGGCTGTGCTGGTTTCCATCTGCACAGGGAGGCCCTATTTGCATGGCCTCCTGTATATTTGGACATTTCTCTGGTGGAAGCCTCGGAAAAGGAAGGATTCAAAGCACATGAGAGTGTTTTGAGATTTGTTTTGTAACATTCCGAGCATACAGAACACATGGTTTCTTCCTATTTGTAACTTCACATTTTTTTTTTTATTCTCACATATGTAGTTAGTGGATTCGGTAACTACACAGGATTGCAGATGTGTACATAGAGTGAGAAGGCTAATGTTTTATGAGATGTGAGATCATAGGCTATAAATTCATCCTGTTTGTGAGGTCCTCCAATGTTTCTCGCAGAACTCAACAGCTTGCTGAGCAATTCCAAGATGGAGTGGTCCTGCTGCCCAAGGATTGTCACGTGTCTTCTTCCAATGAGTGACTGGGACACTATCATTTGTATTCTGTTGTATTCATAAATCAGTAGACAAGTGGCACCTTTTTCAAAATTATATTCAAGGATCTGATATCATTTTTGAGTGCTGGAAAGGTAAGAAATTATTCAGAAAACAAACATTTTTATATAGATTATGCAAAAATATATGCATTAGATGTTCATTTTACTGATGAACAAGTGATATACATTTTGACACAACTATACAAGTAGGTAAATACTCACAAACCATGT